TAACGGGTATTTTTTTTTATTGTGTAACACTAAGATGTTTAAAAGAAATTTGTAGGATTAAGTTAAAATCAGTTTTTCCAAATGCTGACATTTTCTAAGCCTTTTCCATTTTTCTAACCCTTCATATTACCTTAGTAATACAAATAAAGTAAATACTTTACTTTTATTTACAAAAAAAATAGATCTCTAAATATTGATAAAACAATAAGGACACTTTCTATCAAAACTATTAAAAACAGATAATTCAAGTAAATATACCTGACCTTTTTATCAACAAAATAATGCTAATAAGGAAAAAGTAACAAAATTATTAGGATTTTTTATAGAGGAAGATCTTGGAGACCACACGTCAGTAATATTTCTGATAAAGTTGTCAACATGTTTATCATATAAATGTTTTGCGTTTTTATTTTATTGTAAAGACCATATGTTTCTCAATATTTATATAAACATTTACAAAAAATAAAAAATAATCTTTATGGTTCTAGTCTTGAAAAAGCTATTTATAAAAACAAACATAATCTGTTTTGTATAATTTATCGTGGCTCTTCTCTCTAATATAAAACAGCACTATCAATTTTTCCACTTGGTTAGTCCAACTGATTGGATGGTATTATTTGGTGGTATTTTTATTCAATTATTGTAGATGCAAAAATTAAAATGCAAAAATCATTTGTATTGTAATTTATATATCGGTTACTGAAACGCAATATTTATATAATTAACAATAATTTGTGATAATAGAACAAAAAATGCAAAGTTAAAAAAAAATTATTTGATGACAATCAGTCGTTTGTATTGACAGTTACCTCTAAATTGTAATAAATTTTGTTTTTTGCATTTATCGAATATAAACAAATATTGTTATGTTAAAATTAAAACACAGTTGATTGCTCTAAAATCTATTTAAAACACTTATCTTAATGATATTAATACTGTTTTTTAAACATTTCAATCAATTATTACCCAGTAACTTGAGAAATAACTTGCCTACTATTAAGAGTTTACAAATCAAGTGTCCTTTTTCAAAAAACGAAAAAAGACACTTGATTAACTAAAGCTAAAGCTTGTTAAACAAAACCTTTTTTTTTACTATTGTTAATTGTAAATCAATGCCATTTATTTTTATCAATGTCAAATTTTAATAGCATTATTAGGGATTAAAACTTTTATAATTTTATAATTTATACTGAAAGAAATATTTTAAAATTTCTTAATAAAAAAGGAAGAAACTGCTTTGGCCAAATTACTAAAATTTTATTTTGAATTTATGCAAGAAAATAACAATTAAAAGTTAAAAACATTTAATTTTTCTCAAACAAGTTGTGACAAAATGTTTGGTAAATAATAACAAACTATTCAATTTTTAACCATTTTTGAAGCTATGGAAAAGAGGAGTTTGTAAGATAAGATTTTTATTTGGAATATTGCTCTTTATGCCAAATTGCCTCACATTTTTTAGTTTTGTTATTATCTTCAAAATTAATAAATGGTTGTGTATGTAATGAAATGTTTTCTGGTTAATCATCAGCATTATTAAAATTTCTAAATTATGACATTATGATGTTTTCTTATAAATCATCAACAATCTTTCTTTGTTTGTCTGAAAAACAATCACCAGAAACAAAAGTTATGACTCCATTTAGTGCTAATTAATTCTTTGGCTGGTTTTTATGTTTATAGTTAATATGTTTTTAAATTGCTGAATGACTATGAACAGATAAAGTTTTTAAAATAAGTTCAGTGCAGTCTAAAATTTTGGCATTATTTTTTTATGCAGTTTTTAATTTGCATTTATAGGCAATAATATGCATTTGGGAACGCAAAAAACCGGTCTTTGTCACAATGATTTTACTGAATAAAGGTTGTGTTACGTGTATGACAATGTTTTTTGAATATTTGGTTTGCTATTTAATACAATAATTTATTTATTTTTACTTTTAAACTCTTAAAAAACTGATTAACTTTTTTTTCTTTTCAAATTCGTCAATTTTTCTTTTACATTCAGTCATACTGTTTAGTGTGTATCTTAGTTTTTTCATATTTAACTGCTTTCAAAAGTGAAAAAGTAATGGTCTGATAAGGTTGCTTTCTCTACCTCTACAAATTTCATACTTGTCTCTGAATAGAGTACTGTTGTTATTGTTGTTTTTTCTAATGATGTTCTTCCTCTTCTAGACAGAGTCCAAAAAAGTAAGTGTAGTTGCACCTGCTCCCTCTTCCTCTTTCTATCGTCAAAATGCATTTCTTTCTTTTTTTTACAAATACTATCACAATCGTTGCTCAAACACTATCACCACTAGATTTATCAACTGAATTTTATTCTTAAATGATTCGTCATTCAGCAAGGTTGCATCCCTTTACTGCATCTGTTCATTAATGCTCTAAACACTTTTATCTAGTCTTTTCCCCTCACTTTTTAATCTTTTTCGCACTTTAATGCTTTAAGAACTTTAATAATAATCAAAAATATATAGTTGTTTTGTTATTGTCTGGGCAAGCACTTATCCGTCAAAACTAATACAAATTTATAAAAAGCACACAAAAAAAGCAAGCTGTCTTATATTTAATGCAAAAAAATACACCAGTGTCAGACCACTTAGAAATCTTGGAGTGTTAAATATTTATGAATTAAAAATATATAAATTTTAAAATATAATCCCTCCTTTTATTCACAAGCATTATCCCTTCATTTATCTTAAAATTTTATATGAGTTATTAAGATAATATATTTAGATTAGGTAATGTAAAAAAATGTAAAGATTAATTTAAAATCTTTAGCTTTAAATATTTTATAACCTTTGTAAATATTTAACTAAAATTTTTATTATTTGATTAATTTTCATATCAAACATGTGAATGATATCAACGGGGCTGGATAATAAGATAATATCAAACATGTGAATGATATCAACGGGGCTGGATAATAAGATAATATCAAACATGTGAATGATATCAACGGGGCTGGATAATAAGATAATATCAAACATGTGAATGATATCAACGGGGCTGGATAATAAAATTTTCATTTTTTACCTGCTCCGATCATAGTTAAATTTAGAAAAAATTGTTGTAGAAAAACTTTTCTTTCTCTGTCTTCTCTTTTTAAAGACATTTGTCGGTTGAAAAAGGTTCAGAAATCTTTTACTAAAACTCTCTATAAAAGATGTCGCATTCCTTATAAAGATTATTCTTCAAGACTCAAATCTTCAATTTAGAATCTCTTGAATGCTGTTGAATAAAATTTGATCTTCTAGTGACCTATAATATTGTACACAACCTTGTCGATCTACCTTTTTCTGAATTTTTTTATATTTGCTCCTTCTTACTATAATTTATCATAAAATATGTCACAAAAACTTTACTATAAAATGTAAAAATGATACACGAAGATTTTTCTACTGTTCATCAGTTTAAATTAGTTGTTTTTTGTTTTTTTGTCGGTGTTACATAAGAGTAGTTTTGATTTTACCTGTATCACCTTTATTTATTTTTTATTTTTAAATGCAAATAAATCAAAAATTATGAAAAATTAAAAAAACAAAAATTAAAAAAAAAATACAATTACAATTAAAAAAAAACACAAATTTTACTTCATTATTTAAAACCAAATAAATTTTACTTCATTATTTAAAACCAAATAAAATTTCCTGTAACATTTATAAGTGTCTTACAGAGAGCACAGAAATAGTTGTTTAAATAAGTTACAAAAAAAAAAAAAGTTGTTTAAAGTTGTTCATAGAAAACAACCGAATTTCCATCGTAAAAAGTTAACTATAAACCTTTAAACAGACTTAAAAATATATATACCTAGAGAGGTATATTCCTTCAATAGCGGTAATCAAAATCTCGATAATCTATATGCAATATACCGAATTTAAATAACTTAGCTACTCCATAGAAAAGTAGGCTGGAGTTGGCATTATAAAACCTCTTATACTATTTAAAAGGCAGTTCTTTAAGAATCTTAAATAAGTATGTTTTTTATTTAATAGTTTGGTAACTTGATAATAGAGTTAATTACAAATTAATCTACAATTAATAATGAATGTTCAACAACAAAAATTGTTGATCAAGTTTAATTGAATTACACGCATGATACTTTAAAAGTATCATACGTTATATTTAAAATGGGTAGTAAAATTATTTTTTTATAAACTCGTTGCTCTGACTGTTGCGGTAAAATTAGGAGGGGGAAAGGGGAGGGGGTGGGTTTGAAAAACATTGGAAGCAGTTTTTTTAAAGCCTTTTTTAATAACCTTATTTTAATTATAGAAATATCTCGATTTTTTAGACTTCATTAAAAATTATATTGAAATTTTAGATTTTTTTTTCAACTATATAAAAAATTTTATTAAAAAAACTTTTTTGAAAATCTTTTAACTTTATAAATGAAAAATTTGCTTAGTTTTAATATCATTTTAAAAAAGCACATTATTGAGAAAAAAAATATATAGTTATAGTTTAGTGTCTAATTTCGTCAGATTGTGCAGGTATCGTAAAAGAACAAAACCCGAACGTTTGCGACATTTCGTCTTTGTACCTTTCAACACTGGTATAAACAAAGTTGCACGTATTCTTTTCTCATTCGAAAGTTATTTCAGTAGATATACAAACAAGGAAAGACAGCTTTCAACGCTATTATAATTTATACTAGCCACTATGAATTGGAATAGTTCATTCGTTTTCTAATCTATTTTGATCAGTTTAATTGATTAAAAAACGGAGGCAGAAAAACTTTAACGATTTAAATATATTTATCTATTTTTGTGTAAAAAAAAAGAAAAAATTTAATAACTTTTTTTTTTTAATTAATTTTTTAATGAGTTATATATGTAAATATATGAATTTATAACAAAGTTTATTATTTTGTCAGAAACATTGTTTTTTTTTCTAGCATCCCATTGTTAAACTAACCCCCTTTCATTGATCATATTTGATTTAATAATTAAGACAACGTAGACGACGTCTGTCTATTTTTCTTTGATTAAACTTTATGTTTTAGCAAGAGTATTGATTATAAATATTTTATTTCATGTATATTGTTAATTTTTAGCTTTTTATAATTGGCAATGGAAGATCTAGGTAGGAAATTATTTATTAAAAATAAAGTATTGTATTTAAGAAAATAATTAAACTTTTTTTTTTTGCGTTTATATTCGAATAGCGCAAAATATGAATATGTTTTTTTGGTATAAGTTTGTTTGGTACGTTTGCGAAACTTTGTATTAGTTTAAAGCATGGCAAATCTCTTTGAACTTAAGTGCAGTTATCATTAACTATTTAATAATAATAAGTTTTTTAATGCCAAAAACTGTGGTATTTTACACAACCATTGTTCTATAATTTTTTAAAATTATTAAATAAAATTTTATGTTTTGTGAGAATTTTATGTTTTTGAGAATCATATTGACAGAGCGACAACGCCTACAAGTTTTGTTTACGTTTTTATTTTCATTTTGAGTAATCAAGGTAAATTATAATGCATGTAATTTTTTGTCTTATAAAAACTTTCCAGAAATAAATAATAAAACTAAACTGCTAAATTTAATAAGTTGTTAACTTAAGTTTTAATGC